AGTTACATCCATAAGCATATTACACTTCTCTTCGGGAAGGGTACTAGCCTTCAATTGATTCCTTCGCAAAAGAGCTTTCAATATAGCAAAAGCTTTCTCAATTGGATTGAAGTCCGGAGAGTAAGCTGGCAGGTAAAGCAATCGGACGCCTCTGGCTTCGGCCAGCTCTGCAATTCGTCCCCCATGGTGGATGGAGCAGTTGTCCATAATCAGGACCGAATTCGGATATGGATAAGGGTTCATATGGGGTAGCTAGAGACAAGTACATGATCAGTACTCAAATTGATCCGGTTCAAGGTAGAGGTTAGCACTCACAAGTTGGTGTTCCAAGAAGAATTCAAAATCCTTCCGTTTGAAGCTACCATCTTGACACGCCATAGCTAAGACACCCCCTGAGAAGATAGCTGGTAGAAGAGAGAAACGCTTTCCCCCACGACTCCGTGGTACCCATTTGGTCCGAGTACCAACCTTAGACCGAGCAAAGTCCCTGTAAAGACTGCGCTCGGAAATTGAACTTTCATCTTCATGGAGGAAGTAGGTGTCAGTAGAATGAATACAAATTACATTAATAGAGCAATAACGTACCTAGAAAGACCAGCATATCTGGGCGCAAACCTCCAACCGTATTTAAAAATGCTGCCCTTTTGATAGGATCTTGATTGGGGTGAACTGTTCTCGTTTTCTTGCGGCTGATACCTAGGTGGATGAGGTCTCTGGTAACAGTGCTGATTGATACCCAATTTCCAGTTTTTTTGTAGACTTCTTTTCTATACTCATCCAGATACAAGGTAGGGTCTCGATCAAGCAGCTCGAGAATGAAATTGAGATCACCTTGAGTTAACATTGAAGTTGGTCCAAGTTTCTCGTAAGTTGATGGATCACGTATGACAGAGTTTGTGTGATGATAAAGAGCTTTCCATCTTTGAAGAGTGCGAGGGTGGACTCGGGATCGGAGTAACTTTTGGACCTCTTTGGCGGTCTTCCCCTCGTGAAGGTAACGTACAGCTAAGAGCTTGAGATCGGGGTCGTATACACCACGTCGGGGAGTGCTTCTGGTTCTCATAATCCTGGATTCGCAGACATAACCATATCAGCACTTTTTCAAGCCTTAACGGTGAGATGTGTATAAATGACACTTGACCTACCGCAGGTCAATGGCCGAAATAAGGTGAATAAGCGTCACTTGAATAATTGGAGAGGGTAGAAGGTGTGTAATCGGAGAGGTGGGGGGGTGAAGACGAGTCAAATGGTGGGATGAGATTAAAAAAGGGGACCTGCACATATGTACATACATACAAGCTTTAAAATTCAGCATATAAAGATCAACACAGCTGCTCTTTATGTAGAATCTACAGTCATTCGAGATTCGCTTGGCCAAATCTCTTTTTTTTTTTTTGCCAATAAAGGCAATTTTATAAGCATAAATAGCCCTATAGCCAATTGAGGTGCTTGACCGTTGAACCCGGTCAGCAGCCTTGTTGACTCTTGTTTACCACCACCTCAACACCAATCGACACCACCTCAACACCACTCCAAACCCTCAACACCACTCCAACCCTTTTGATATCCTTTTAACTTTCGATTCCTTCGATTCCTTCAATATCCTTCAATATCCTTTTCCAGTTTCGATTCTTTTCAATATCCTTCGATTCCTTTTCCAGTTTTGATTCCTTCTTGGTATCCTTCGATTCCTTTTCCAGTTTTGATTCCTTCTTGGTATTTAAAAGCTTTGTATCTGTTCTTCTCGACGATCTCAACATGCCACAACGACCTACAAAACAACAAATGGCTTTGGCAGAGGAGGAAGCAAGAAGAGCATTAGAGATGTAAGTACTCTTTCTTTTCCTCTGTAATCGACATACAAACTCACCTTTCTTTCTCTCTAGTGCAAACAGACAGGCCCGGCGAGCTGGACCTGAAGGCTTCAGTCCCGAGCTCGGCAGAGGTGGTTCACCTTTCTATTACCAAACGTAAGTTTTCCTTTGTATCCATTTCTTGACTCAAGAATCGAAGAGTAGCTGATTACTTTTATCTTTTTAGACCAGGACATCACTGGGAAGATGTCAGATTTGGCGGTAAACGTCAATATCTTGACTCAGAAATTATCCATATCGATCCATACGAGCATCCAGGTTTTCGCGAGTTCCGCTGTAAGAATCATCAGAAGATTGAACCTGGTGAGTAGTTTTCTTTCTTTTAAACCTTGATCATAAGCTCTAAGCTGACTTTCCATCAACTTTAGATTCAGATATCGAAGTCTTTCCCCACGGTTTACCGTCCTATACTCCGATGGCCTCTCAAGTTCGACCTTCTGGATCGGCGATCACGCTCGATTTTGATTCCAATCATAGGGATCCTATGTTTGGAAATCAGTTTTTCGACCACCAACTCGAACGTGCCATTGGAGGTTGGTTACATTTCTTTTATTTCACTCTTGAATACCAACATAAACTGACCTTTATTCTATTAGATCCACATCCACATGTGGATCTAACCCAATCACCAAGTCCAATCCTCAAACCGTATTGTGGACCAACTGAAGCTCCTACTGGACCAGCTCAAGCTCCTACTGGACCAGCTCAAGCTCCTACTGGACCAGCTCAAGCTCCTACCAATAGCGTACCCACTCGAACCAGCATAGGGTATCATGTCTATAGCCCCATCCACCTTACCAATGCTGAAAAACGCTCCGGGGCGACTGTAACTTACATCGACTATGTCACCAAGGTACCATTCGAAAGATTAATCCAAATCCACGGGTTCTCTCTCAACGACGTGAAGGAGTCTCTTTTCAAGGCGTGCAACGTCAATAAGCCACCTTGCGGAGACATTCTCAGGACCGCTGATGACGAAGGTAACCTTACCTTCAAAGGATATGTTTGTAACGGTGAAACATTTGGCAAGACCACCCTGCCAGTAATCCCAAACGACGAGATTTTCGATGATTTGAAGAATATGATCCTCCTCAAGAAAGGAAAGGAAGTTGGATTCCGTCTCATCATGGAGGATCCGAAGAAAAAGGCTCGAACTGTTTCCAGAGTAAGCTTTCCTTTTTTTTCACATTCTCAACTTGATATTAACAAATGACTTGATTCCTTCTGAACAGGATTTGCAATTCAATCGATCTGTCGCCCACCTTCGTCCAGATGCGTTGGATACTGGTGAACATCATGAAGTTGAGATGTCGGTAAGTATCATCTCAACTTCTCTTTCTTTTCGACTGTAACTAATTTTTCGACTTTGACTTATTCTTCTGGGACAGAGCATTGGAGTTCATAATGCCATCCAGGCTGAGCTCAACAAGCTCATGATCTCCTATTGCCACACCAACATTGGTGGCAGGGAGTGCATGGGTTATATCAAGCCAGATGATTCTACCATGGTGATATACTTGACCCATTCGATGTTTTAAGTTTGGGCAAGTGATATAGTAAGTTTTTTTTATTTCTTTTACATTATCACTTCAAAAAACTTGATTAACTCATTCTTGATTGCTCTGACAGGTACACAAGCGTCATGGTGCTACCCAATTAAACCCACCTCGTCGCCTATTGTTCAAGTACGGTCCAATTGATCATGCGAAATCGAAATTGAAGCCCGGTAATCCATCAGCACCTTGTTCTGGCTCGGCCGTATCTCAAATTCCGATGGTCTCGCTTGGGAATGGCCTATTTCCATTCAACACCAACAATAACCAGCCCATTCCCCAACAATCTGCTCCTTGATCAGATTCTCCAGCCCCAAGACCTCTCCCAGAATTCGAACAATACCTTGAGTATTGCAAAATCAGTCCAGAAGATCATCACACTCGCAATCTACTCAAGACATATGACATCGTGAACTTTGAGATGTTCTTATCTTCGGCGCTCAACATCGAAGAGATGAAGCAGTTTGGCTTTCAGTTTGGTCCACGTGTTTGTCTTCACGAAAACGCGGTGTTATATTGACAACACCTCAAGAACGTAGCTCGTGGATGAGTCTAGTTTTACCTTGTGTCATCAAACAAAGTATTGACCTTGTCCTATTAAAGGGCCTATTGTTGTAGCTATAGTACAGTACACTATAAAATTACAACTGCTATATATTATTATCTGTTTAAGGTTCACGTCTATTCTGTAATGCAAATGTTCTTTAGTGAACAAATTGGTACTTCAGACACAAAGTTCCAAGTGAGATTTTTATCAATCAAAGAGTTCTTTGAACTTGAATTTGACTCGAAGCAAGAAATAGAATTATTTTGACTTTCCCAAGTTTTAATTCAAGTGAGGTTTCTCAAGTTGGAGTTTTAAGAAACATCTTGAAATTTGTGTCTTGAAACTCATTACTCACAACTCACAAGAGTCAAACTTCTCTTCTTCAGTTTAGGGTCAAAGGCACAGGAGAAATTACACAAAAATCATTTCATTGATCACTTTTGCAAAGACAACATAGAGACATCTACAACAACAAATAATTTTTATCATAATATTCTGTAAGACTACTTTAAACCCTTATCAACATCAACTGTTTTCTACTTTGATACCCCTCTTCATTCTTGATTACGTGGTCTGTAACCACAGTTCGTGTATAAGCTAATGATGAAATTGCTAGTGCAAACATCACTCATAACTTGCTCAAGGCATTTCAACTTGTCTTGAGCCACTGCAAGCAAGCCATTATGTCAAAGCGAAGCCTTGAAGATATCAAATACTCGCTCGATGGGATTGAATTCCGGTGAGCAAGGCGAAGTATAAATTAATAAGACTCCTGCGTCTTCACACAAGGCTTCGATTGATCCGCGGTGATGGATAGTCGCATCATCCATCACCAGAACCGAATTTCGATTCGGATATGGATGCATAACAGGTAACTTGAACAACCATTCTATTGTCAGCTTCGTTGTTGAATCATCATAACACTAAAGGCACAACCCAGTTTCTCGGCGAAACTGGATTAAACACCTAAGCCCTTAACACACTGTACACCTAAGACTCCAGTGTCCGACCCCCTTAGGCTTCCTTAGGTTCAGCTGTTTCAACCCCACCTCCTTTCTTCATGGCCTGTCAAACCATTGTGGGTTATAGATAATTGCCATTTCTTCCAGTTGTATAGCAAACTGATTTGTCCCTCTCATCTTTCCTGTTGACAAAAGAATGTGGATTTTTTCCAACAGTCTCTCTCAGTGAAATTTCAAGCATTTTATGAACCTTCCATAGCACCGGGCATTTCGACTTGAGATCGCAATACTCTCCCTGGCAGAGTCAACACAACAGCAACGGTTCTAGACCTTCGAGATGCTAAGAGCAGCCCACTCGATATCAACGGTGATCAAGCACTCTTCACACGTCTCCTATCGTGGTTGATCAGTCTACTAGCTCCTCAGAAACTCTCAGTCCTTTCATTTACAAGTGAAAGTATGCGACTGTTGACTGCGACTTATCCTGATGAAGGTCCTTCTCGGAACTCTTCCAATCTGGAGGATACCTCAAAAGCTTACACAAAGTATCATCAAACTATAGGCTTGATGCGACTGGGAAAAATTAATGATGATTGGGTTATTGCATGGAAAATTCAAGGCAGGATATGTACGTCAATCGTACCTCCTGCTGTTGTCAAGAAATCTAACAACAATTACTGAAATTTTGTTCTCCGTACTAAAAATAGATCTTTTCAGCTCCAAAGAACGCATCTGATCACCATATGACTTTGACCTTGTCATCAATTGTGACTTATCACAGCCTGTCTTCCCAAAGCTCAGTCGCAGATAATCTAGGACCGATGCGACATCTTACAACCCAATTTAAATCAAGATTTTTAGAAATCACAATAGGAAAACACAAAATCAACACACGATGTTTAGCGATCAAAATCTTAACGATTGTACATTCAAATGGAGGAATTTTACAAAGTTTAGAAAGAAATCAATTGATGAAATAAATCTTTCATCAAGAAACTCAAATAAGCAAATCGATTAGTAACTTTTTTGAACACTTTTTGAATGAAGTTGATGATTCTGAAAGTATTACAATTGGAACAAATACTGTAAAATATAATTCGATTTTGGATGTCTAGGTGAGTAAGTTTCATTTTTATTTCCTTACACTGTTCAGCTTGACTCTTTTAAATTTTGATTCTGGATCTTGATGTAAGTAAGTCTCATTCCCTCTTTTGTTTGTTCCATTTGGTAAGTCAATTTCAATTCCTTTACTTCATTTTATTATCCATTGCTCTCTATCGTGTTCATTCTTCATACCAAGCTAATCCTTCTTTTTGATTTGACTCCTTTTGATTTGCTTCTGTACTTTTTAGACTCAATTTGACTCGGTCCGATCAATCTCAATTTCAGTCTCATCAGCTGATCACCTCACACTTCTTCCTACCACCCTCTATCCCATTTCCCTTTCGATTCCAACAGTTCATTTCAATTTCCATCATTCAATCAAGATCTCAATCTTCTGAATCTTGATTTTGATCATTATACAATAAGTAAGTTTTCATTCTATTTCCTTCTTTTGAATTACTGAAACTGACATCATCAACTACTCTTCTTGTTACTCTTCAAACCCCCAAAAACGAATTTATTGGTTTAATATTTCAATCCTTGCCTTTCAACTAAAACCTGCACTCTTTAATTCAATCTTGATCTCCAGTTATGATCTTGATATAGTTTTAACTTTGAACCTCAAAATCAAAACTTCCTTCTCTTTCAATTTCAACTCTAATCTTTGATCTTGATATGTAAGTCTTTTCTTCTCTTAACTTTCTTTCCACTATTCCTCTCGTATAACACTGACAACTTATATTGTTTCTTTATTTGTCTAGGATTCGATTTTGGCTGTTTGTTTATAGAACGACTGTTTGGACTTGCTTAATGTATTAGGTGAGTATTCATTCCTCATTCAGCAATTGTAATCTTATCTGTGTAACATCAATGTTGACATCTTCGAGTTTGACCCCTTTTTCTAAGGTATGTATTTCATTTCATTCATCTTTCTTGTATGTATCATGTTTTTTTGACTTCTACGTATGTATATACTATACTATTTCAAACGTAGGATTGATGTTCATTGATAATGCCATGTAAAATTCATATAGTGATAATTCAAATTGCAATGATGATTTTGAATGATCATTTTGATTATTTTGCTCACGTCCCATGTGCCTTGATAAGAATTGAAGAGTTTTTTTCTGTTACTGATAAATGATGTAAGGCAAACGATATGAGATTAAGAAGTGATCATAAGAATTGCTTTCCACAATGTAAGGAAACTCATTGGTCCCTTGATCATCATCCTCTTTGCACTGTTCAAGGCCACTTTGAACACAACCCAAGCTGATAGTGATTGAAGTCTTGACCCTGGGAATTGAAACTGTAAAACTGTAGAGAAGACCACATACCCTCCACATTCTTGTTCACCTTTTTCACTTGAAAGACCTTGAAATCAATCATTAACTTCAAATGATTATAAAAAGAATCACAAACCCAAATGTCTCCAATTACTAAAAGGCATGATTGAAGTAAAGAACAGGAAAAGTATGTTTGGGGTCCTCAAAGCTGCATAGTTCTCAACCCAAACATACTTTTTTTCCCCGCCAAAAAAAACTCAAAAAGTATGTGGGAAAAAGTATGTACACCCACATACTTGCTTTTACCGTAAATTTGAAAGGAAAATACCTAATTCTAAGAAGAAAAGAATTGATCTGAATGATGATGATGAAGAAGAAGGAAATGAAACTGTTGAAGTGGATTGAAGAAAGTGAAGGTAGTAGAAACAAAAGGTTGTGAATGGAAAAGGAAAAGGGAAAGAAGTTCAAAGTACTGATGATCAAGAAGAGGGACAAAACAAAGATGATGATAATAGAACTAAGATTAGTTCAAGTTAAACTTACAGATTTTAGAGAAGTAAAGAAATAAGGAGAGGAAAACAAATTGAGTTCATGGTTTTATGCATTGGGGTTGTTTATGAATTTATTTTTCTTTATATTGTTTTTTATTTTTTGATTAGAAAATTACAAAAAACTTTTGTTTTGTAAAATTTATTAGTGTTTCATGATGTGTTGGAAAAAGTAGTACTTTGCCTGTATATAAACTATACATTTAAAGTATCTAATGATACATATAGATTTTCTTTTTTTGTATGTTTCATTGATCTTTTGAAAAAGGAAAAAGAGAATGCGATTTTATATAGTTTGTATTGAAAAAATTGGTATGCTTTGTGTTCTGATTGAGTTTTCAAAAAAAGATGTGATGCTATAATCATAGATTTGGTATTTGGATGAAGGTTTAATATGATATGATGTGAAATGCTTCTTTTTAGAAAGAATGTTATGAGAATGGGTTTGATCTTGCAACTTTATGGCAGTGCAAGTCCAAGTTTATCTGAACCAATTCTTATTCAACCAGTTGCACTCTTCCATTGGCTCCACAATTTTTTCAGATCTCAGAATTCAAAGCTTTTTTTGAAGTTGGTTCTCGAGGCAAATCTTATGTAGCACTTGGAATTGAATGAGTAGGAGTGATTCCAAGGGATCATCCAGAGAAGCGCCTCAGAATATTGCATACATCCAAAAGGCAACTTCTGGTAGCATTCAATTGCAAACTCAATGAGCTGTAAGCTAAACTATCAGATGAGTGAGTACCATCTACAGAGGTTCATCATGTTTTGGATTTGGGCAAGTGATTTGTGGAGAAAAATGGGCCTGGCAACTATATTTTACTCAGACCAATTGGTTTTCAAGACTGATTTGATATAACTCAAGGCTCGGAATCTTGGTTTGTATCACAGGGTAGAATGATGGTCACAGCCTTAGATAGTCACAACTTTGGAAGGCTCAAGTGGGATTTCAGGTGAGGAATCAAATGCTTAGCAATTCCTGTAAGATGATGTGCTATGCCGTGATTATTGTGTGATGCAGTGCGACACCCCTGAAGATATACTCTGATTAAAATACATATATAATCATTCTTCTTGCAACCTTTTTGTATCCTGCCTTTCTTGAGGTTCATCACTGGAGTAATAGACTGACTCTGAATTCCTCTGAACTATTTCAGGATCTCCTATCTCCATATGGTCATAACCTTGCAAACCAAACACTGCAGAGCTGACCAGACTCACAAGAACACAGAAGTACATTGTCTCAAACTCAAAGACGTCATTGTGCATTTGGCAGGGCCGGGGATCATTTCCACAACTCAAAATCAGGACTTGGCAAAGCAGGAGCAATATAATTAGCAACCAAGCTAAGCAAATGGAACATGGAACGCAGTGGGAGCTGGATAATTTAACTAAATAAACCTGTACACTACCATTGATGACAGGAACTACATTTGAAACAAGTATCTCGAGTGCAATGCGGTGTGCCAATGTTCAGTTGTTGCGCCCACCTAAAAATGAAAAACCCTAGCCGCGGCGCCCACCGCTGATTTGCTAGTGCTTTAGTAAATAACGAAGATATTCAAATGAGAAATGGAAACAAAAAGAATGAATATGACGTAGATGCAAAAGACTCACTCGACAGATGGCCAGAAAGTGTGGAATGTGAAATGGTATTGGAAGAGTGGAGGTTGATGCTAGAAGATTGTAAGCTGTCAGACAAATGGAAAAAGGTTTGGATAGGATTAACAAAAGGCTTTGATCAAGGAATCCCCCAACACCTGCTTGGAGACCTAAAATGGTTTACACCAGACAACCATAAATCAGCCTTGTTAGTACAGGATAAGATAATGAAGAACTTATTCAAAGAGAGAAGATTGGGACGGATTTTTGGACCTTTTACTCACGAGACTGTATTCAAGAAATGGGGATTTTTCAGGTCGAATCCGATGGGGAGTGTAACTAATAATGATGGATCCCTACGAATGATCAATGATCTTTCGTACCCAAAGACTCACATTAAGAATTTGGAAAAACAGAAGGCTAGTGACGGAATAAACTTAGGAGACGATGGTGAAGATAGTGATGAAGATGATGAAGATGAAGTGAGAAAAACTGATGGAGCGAAAGAAATAATAGAAACCTTACATTATGAAGTAGACAACAACTCATTACCTTCTGTTAACTCGTTCGTAGATAAAAATGATTTTACTACAACATGGGATGATTTCAATATAGTAGCATCTTACTTTAAAGAAAATATGTCAATCGTGATATGGTTAGCAATAGTGGACTGGGAGAAGGCTTATCGACAAGGACTTACACATTCTTCTCAATGGAAATATCTTACCATCAAAGATTTCCAAGGCAATATCTGGATAGATACGAGAATTCCCTTCAGGGGAGTAGCAGGTTGCGGAACCTTCGGATGGATGGCAGATGCATGGAAAGAGATCATAATGTCAGTGTTGAAAGTAGAGAAAGTTTTCCGTTGGGTAGATGATAATATGTTTGTGAAACGGGATGGAGAATTACTCAGTATGCAAGATGTATTACAAGTTACCAGGGCCCTCGGGGTACAGTCAAATAGCGAGAAATTCCAGGACTGGGCCTTAGAACAGAAATACTTGGGATTCATCTGGAATGGGAAAGAGAAATCAGTTAGATTACCAGAAGAAAAAATGAAAGAAAGGTTAGAGAAAATAGAAGATTTGTTACAATTAGGAAAGAAGTGTAGTAAAAAAGAGGTGGAGAAGATAGTGGGTCAACTGAGTCATATAACTTACATACTACCGTATATGAAGTGCTATTTATGGAGCTTATACAAATTCGACAAATCCTGGTATAATCCTCAAGCATTGAGGGAAGTCCCGGTGGAAGCAAAAACCGAGTTGAGGGAATGGAGAGATCAATTGTTAACTTTCGACAGGTTGCAATTCCAGCCAGATATCCCACCGAAAGAGATAAACTGGGTCGGAGACGCTAGTACCAGCTTTGGCCTTGGGATACTGATCGGAGGTCGCTGGGCCCGATTTAAATTAAGTGAAGGATGGAAGTCGAAGGAGATGTCACATAAAAACGATAAACGTGACATAGCCTGGCTGGAGACAGTCGCCGTTCGATTAGGTTTGCTGATGGTGGAAAAACTGGTACCTACAAAATCTAACTGTTTCATAGTCTACACCGATAACACAACAACTGAAGCAACGATCAGAAACCGGAAATCGAGAAATAAACGTGTTAACGAAGAGTGGAAAAGGATCCAAAAAGAACTTACGAGACTTGACTGCGATATCGTCGCTAAGAGAGTTTTGTCCGGAGAAAACAAAGCGGACGACCTCTCTAGAGGGATTCGGAAAGAAGGGGAGTGGAAGTACGAAGTCTTGATAGACATACCTGAAGATCTACAATCGATCTTAAAAAGAGATTAGAACAACAATGATCCTAAACGAGAACAAAATAAAGTACTTCTTGAAAGATGTGAACGGGTCAGTTGAAAGTAAAGAACAACAGAAAAGAATAACACTGACATCAGATTCTGTTTCCATCTCCCGTTACGCTTCACTTGTCTTATGTCTATTCGGTCCTACCCACGTTAATCGGTCCTATCGAATTGGTGTTAAAGATCATTTGACTGGAGGAGCAATAAAATTAAGATTAGATTGTTAAGTGGAAGTTGGACTCAAGCAACATTAGAGAATTATAGTACGGCGATGGCGAAGTTGGAACGATTTGCCGAATCTAACAACATGCCACGTAACGAATTACTACCTTTAAATCAGAAGACACTTTGGGAATTTATTCTATGGGCGGGACGTCAAAGTAAGGTGAATTTAGAAGACGAAGAAGTCGTAAAGATACTTAATGAAGAGCATAAGATTACAGCAAAAACGCTTACAAAGTACATAACAGGTATTAGATCATGGCACTTGTTCCATGACCTACCCTACCCGACCAAAAATGATAAAACAATTAAGTTATTACTAAAGGCATCAAGTATAGCCGACGCAGAGATGAAGAATGTACCAAAGAAAAAGAACCCGGTTCAGCTGAGGCACCTGGCAGAATTGGCTAAAGAAATATCGAAAGGAAACCAAAAAGAACGGATAGCTCTGACAGTTGCCCTAATAGCATTCTGGGGAATGGCGAGATTGGGTGAATTAGTATCGGACAATAAAAATAAGAGACTAATTTCATTCAAAGACATCATCTCACACAATCAA